GGCATTGCTAACTTTTTCATTGAAATGGCACTCTTGCTTTTCGTAGAATAGGCGTTCTACTTTGTATCGTTACTTTCTACATCAAATTCCATCTAGTAAGATGTGTGGTTATGTCAGCATCTATTTCTAGAATGTAATCTTTCCTGTACTGCTGCATTCACTTCTGTTTGCAGCAAAGCTCCTTTATGGTTGACAACCTTTGCACCAGCTGATGCCCTTGTGATGCAAGAGGAAGCTTGGAATTCTTACCCCAGATGCAAATCAGGTTAAATTATAAAAAACTTTCCTTGCATTTGTTACTGCAGTACTTAGTCACAATTGTTGATTCTTTTCAATTATGGGATTAATTGTTTTTTCTAAACTTACTTTGATGTTTCCACTGTTTGCCATCTGAAATTTGGCATCGTGTTGCACAGTCATTCAGGTAACTAGACTTTAACCTTGGAACAAGTTTTATTCTGTCCGTGTCCTTGTGGAATGTTTAATATTGAACTACTCTTTGATATGTTATTTTGCAGTGCCCATATTTTACAAAGTTCCGTCTAACTATTGAAACTATTCACAAGGCTGATAACGGACAATCTGAAAATGTAAGGTCTAAGTTTCTTTTAACTTCTTTTTTTCACCTTGATCAGGTCATTTGACCAGTGGATAACATAACCCATACATGATCTGCGTGAAGAAAAATTCAAACTGTATTCTTGTTAATATTAACTTGACAACTTACATTTTGCCTGCGAACTCCTGTACATGTGCTTCCCAAACTTCATTAATGGTATTTTGACAATATAGGTGCATGGTTTAAGCAAAAATGAACTAGCAGCCAGAGAGGTAGAAGTACTTGACATTGCTTCAACAGCTAGTGATTATTGGAGTTACATTATTGGAAGGAACAATATTGATTTCTCTACATTCCAATCAGCAAGGACAGGCCGGGGTCCACTTCTAGAGGGTTGGCAGGTTGTTTTATCTACTTCTTTATTTGTATGCATTGATACATAATTCAGTCAAAAGTATATTCATTAGCATATTTTAGGATAAACGTATCAACAAACTTATTTTTTAGGTTCAACCTCTTCGACTGAGAAACATGGCCTAGTTCTTATCAAACAGGATTGGAGAGCTTAGTAATATGAAGTGGCTTAAGACGAAATGTGCTTGCACTCAAGTATTTTGTGTATGGATACATAAAAACGCTTTTGAGGGACTAAATGGCATAGCTCGTCTGCATGGACCCTTTTTTGATCCTTAAGCCGAGTAATAATATCTATTTATCTTATGAACTGACCTTCTTTTTTATGATGCCAGAATAGCTGTGATCCAGTTATGACAGCATACAAATTGGTGACAATTGACGCTCCATATTGGGGCTTTGGTAGCAGACTCGAGCAAGCTTTGATGGCGGTATACATTTCAACTCTAGACAATCTCAAGTCATTGAAATTCAAATTGGTTGTATACTGGATCCTTAGGATTCTATTGATAATGATTATTAAAATTTACCCCTTACGCCAGTGCTAGGACCTCAGGTTAGATGGCATTGTCACTTTTATTCAAAGAGTAAAAGCTACTAAATGATATTCACATGATGGACCTTTTATAAACTTGAATTAGTTGTGTTAGCAACTTTTGTGAAAACATTCTATTACTTAACTGAAGAAACCAAATAGCACCAGAAGATACAGCCCTAAAACAAAGAGGGCTTGCCTGCCATATCCAAATACAATCTAAGAGCCTGCATTGAGGGTATAATGTTGAATTTTATAGATAAGATTCCTGATGCTCAAATCTATCCAAACCCTAAACTGCACACCTGTTATATAACTGAACAGTGAAAAATTAGTTTATTATTCATATACTGATACAAACCACTCATAGTTTGGAAGAATTTACTGTTCTTATACTAGCGCAGTTTTGTGGCAACATGTTCTCATTTTGTCCTGATTGCCTTGATGGTTTAAGAACTTTCCATCCTTCTGAATTTTAGTATTCTTTTGATTGTTTTCCTTCATACTTCAAATTGTCCTTCTTTCTGAGTTGGGTTTTGATTTGGTTGTGCCTTTTATATGAGGTTGGAGCAATGATTGCTAAATGAGGAAACACTGTAACATATTGGATTTTACAGCAGCAGGAAAAAAAAAAATGCTAGTTAAAAAGGGGAAAGCTTCCAACCATTAGCAAATGTTGATTTACTCTGCACTACCATAGTTGCCTTGTATCCTTTACTTCTTTCCCTCCCATAAATTTATTCTTTCCTTCGGCAATCATTCAGTATTTCAGTTGAGGTGATCCAAAGTGCCGTCTTGGACTCTCTCTTTTGCTGACCTTTGTCCACCCCTGATGCAGTATGAGATCCCATCAGTCGCTAGGGAATTAAGGATTTACAGTACCAAATGCACCAACCTCTTTTTGTTGTTTGATGACAATGCTACTTGTGTTGGTCTCTGTTGTGCATTAGATTGCAGTATATACTTGGCTTTACAGGATTTCATCTCTACAGGGTGAAAGGGCACTTTTCCTTGAAAGTCATCGGAATTCTTTTGCTTGGATTGATGAATGGTTTGGACTGACAGTGGAGGTGATGCGTGAGCTAGAGCAACAAAGTGACACCTCACTTAACGAGGTAAGGAAATACAGGACCCAGATTTTGGTAGGAAATTTACTCTCGATTGATATACCTTAGGTTAGATTATTATAGCACAATTATTTCTGCTGTAATGGTCATGACATTATTGTTTTTCCAAATCAGAAATTTGGTCGGCAGTGTTTGGTCGAAAGCTAGGAGAGTAACACAATGAAGTGTCCTCTCTTGATATGATCGAGGTGCTACGCCCTAATTTCGCCAGTTGAGCACCATGCTAAATCCGTGGTAAATAGAAGATGGAAAGGATGATGCATCGGATGGTGCAGAAAATTGGAAGATGGCAGTCGTCGCGTTTTAAGTTGAGGAATCCATGATGGGTCCCAGTTTTTCCTCGAATTTATGATGGGATTCTATTGAACTTTTTTTTCTTTTTTTGGTAGAAGCATGTACATTTGAAACTTGTATAAAGAACTGTAATCTGATTACGGTTAAAAATTGATGTAGAAGGTGGAGATTGGTGCAAAAGCATTAATAAGAAAAATGTTCTTTATTTTAATATGGTGGAATATTTTTTTCACCTGCATCTGCATGGCGTTGCGAGCGGACTATTGAATTTAGTTGGATAATTACTCATAACTTGTATCATCGACACATTTTGTAACCATGTCTTCATTTCATATGTATCGCATAAAAGATGTATTATCCCCAAGTGTGTATGGTTTGGAAGGTCAATAGAGGCAGCTAGCCCATTCTCAACCTGGTCAGCCCTCTTATATTTGGGCCGAAACCTCACATGCTCGGCTGATTTCGCCTGATGAATTACGGATAAGGTTAGCCCATTAAGCATGAGCCTCAACGAGACCCCAGCCCATGTTTTAATCGGCAGCGAAACAAAAAGAAAATTAAATTTGAAGAAATCAAGGATTTTGTAGGAGATTTTGCAGTGTCTTTTGAGCATCTTTACTTCGAGTGAATATCAGCGTTAGGTGTTTAAGTTTAAAGTGTTTTGGGCTCTAAGATTACAGTAACTTTAAAGTATTTTGAATTGAAGAAACGAATATTAATTTGTTTCTATATAAAGAAACACCCAAAAAAAAAAAGAAAAAGAAAAAGAAAAAGCGGGCCACCACTCTGGTTTGAACTCACTTCACATTTGGCCTTTCATGACTCCTGATGAATGCTATTATATAATTTATGGATTTTTTGCCCAATTTTCTTGTCATTATTTTAATGTACCCAATGCTTCTGTAACACGTAGGTCCTTCTAGGTAGTAGTATTTGCGAAGAGAAGCTGGGTAACGACGAGTCGTCGTGGATGTAAATTAGCATGGTGTGGATTTCGTCGCGTACCGGCATACATCATCCATCTCTGGTGCATTCCGAGTATGCCATGATTGTTTTGTCTGATGACAGTGGTACGTAGATATAGAGAGGACTCCTAGGTTTGCTTGGCAGAGATTTGGATCAGTAGTTGTGTTTTTTCTAGGTTTGCTTGGCAGAGATTTGGATCAGTAGTTGTGTTTTTTGCAGTATCTGACGACAATCTGCTGAGCTAGCTCACGTGTCTTTGGTTTCTAGTTGAAGATTCATTTCTGCAAATTGCCAGTCTCTCTTGTTCTTGTTCTCTAGAAAACATTGAAACTGGAGGCTGGGGACAGGTTGGCCCAAGTGTTAACGTAGGACAGAAAAAAAATGCATGGAAAATTTGGAAGAGGAATCAAATCATGTTGCGTCGTACAAGTAAAATTGAAGCTTCAAGGCTCTTCATGCTGTCACATACACGTCCAAATGCTTCTTTGGTTCTAAAGCTTAAATCCTGTTAGCCATGCTTTAATTTTATCAGACGCATCCTAAGATAACCATGTATTATTGATTGTGTAATTCTATAATTCAATACATTTCCAGCATCTGTTTCGATGAATTTGTGCCGTCACCATAATATTCAAGCCTCTCTCATCAATTCAATCGCCAACTTAGCAGTTGTCAATGTAATTCATTTTACACCTTCATTTATTTATTTGTTTTAGGTAGAAAATTCAGATTCCTCCTCCAAAGCAAAAAAACAAAAAAAAAAATCCCCAATAATTAATACTCCGAGCGCTTGGGGAGACGATGACCTTTGCTATGATCTGCATATCCCAAAAAAACCGGCTCACCTTCCCCTCAGGATGCGTCGGTGGTGCCCTCGCAGAAAACGAAGCAATTTAACAGGGCAAACACCCGACCCGAAGCACTCTTGCCCATTTTACTTTCTTATATAAGTTGCCTCGAGTAAGATGCATTAAAGATTCTCCTCTCTTTTCTTATTTGTTTATAGTTTGGAGACCACAGAAGAAATCTGGTGATGGCTCGTGGTCTTAGTGCTTAAATTTCATATCAGCATATTATAGGCAGTCAACTATTCATCCCTGAGGAAGCTAATCATTCAACCCTCTCAACCAGCGACCCAAACTTATAATAATACTAGAGTACTGTTCTTCCAATCTTCAGAAACAAATTCCGAAAACACGACTTTGAGAAGAACAATAAAATATACACGCATCTACAGTCAACCTTACCATCCAATATCATATTTAGTACAAATCTTTTCACCTAAATAGGGATTGTGAACGAGCAAACTCAGAAGATAGATACCAAATTTGCTTCGCATTGAGCTTGTCTCAAAAATGTATCCTGGTGGGCTGTACCTTCTCCATTCGGGTTTCACCGTAAGGTTCATCGTTGTCCATCCGCTTGTCGTGCCTAAATGCTGCACAGGCCACCACATAAACAATTACCAGGATGATCAAGATAACAATGTTGATCACAGAGACCCTCCTCCAACTCTTCTTTAAGCTTCCCAGAACACCAGCTTTACACGAATCACAATTGTAGCACAGTGTCTCTTGATCATTGTTCCACCTTCCGCAATCGAGATCAGTTCCGACCATGCCTGATCCCATAATCCAAACCGTCTCATTCTGATAGACATAGCCACATCCTGTGGGAGGTTTGCAACATCCAGACTGCAGCCACCAGAAAATCAAATTAGCTCATGGTGACAAAACTAAAGGAAGATAAGCCTTTAGATGATAACAAAGGCATCAAATTACTGGAATATTATTTTGCGCTTAAAAGGAAAAATCCATGGAAAACGAATTCTTGAGCGAATCACTTGCAAGTAGTGTTACTTCTAACACCTTCCTAACCTTCAATCTCAGCAAGTAGATTCATCATTTTGCTTGATATGATGATTGGGTGGCTGCACCTACCACATAAAAACATACATCCAGACACACTGCAAGATATTTTATTGTAAATTCGTGTGTCCTAAATGACCGTGGACTGTGGAGAACTATATCATGTCTACAATCACCAACTAATAAACTTAAATGCAGACGCAGCAGACAAAGAGCGACCCTATTTATTATGAGAAAAATAGAGAAATAGACAATTACGGCTCCAACACTTGGAGCTTTCCGGGTAGGTCAGGGTCCAATTCCAATACCAATCGATTCCAACTCATAATGGTGACCCACATTAAGGTATCAAGTGTCCCATACCCAAATCCAACTCATAATGGTGATCCACAAAATTCTGCCAAATCCCCTCCCTGTTGTTACTGTGTTACCCAAAAACAAATACATTAATAAAAAGTGGAAAATAAGTTGCACATGGTAAAGATGCCTAATCTTGTAAACAACCCAAGCCTTTTGGAGCATGGCATATGATCTTAACCCCATAGCCAAAAAAAAAAAAGTATGCAGACATATATGGTCTTAGATAGTCCTTAAACAGATGGTCATGATAGATCCTCTGAACTACGAAAAGTGATTAAAGCATCGAATCTATCTTGATGCTCCTCCTCCCAAATCTTCCAGTGATTTAGTGAAGTCATTGACTAGCATTTATGTCCCATGTTGTTTGGGAGGTTGATATATTATGATGTGAATTTTGTCATGCATGATAGCTCCTTATACATCAGCCAATCGTACATTTTCATTTGCAGGGTACGAAAGATGGCATATAAGTTTGTAACCACCACTATCCCCTCCCCCTCCCCCACCCCCCCAAAAACAAAAACACAAAAAGAGGCAGCACAATTAGAAAGGAAGAAACAAGAATGAGAAAAGTAGAAAGATCAAAGATGGGCAAAATTCAAGCTACAATATTCTCGTGTTAGTGATATTTCACTTTCAGACTTTCAGTATATTCTTACGTAACCTCATAGATGAAGCAAACAAAAGAAGAACTCGTATAAGGATATTCTACAGATGTAAAAGAAAGAAAATGGACCACGTGAAAAAGCAAAACCCAAAGGTTCCCAACTTCCCATATCGTACTCGTGACTACAAAAAGTAAAACCCAGAGGTTCCCAACATCCCATATCGTACTCATGAGTCATACGACCAGAAAAAGCACAGTAGTATTCTTTCCGGGTATCATCGGTGTCCAATAGTAATATTCCCCTTTAATAGAACAAAAAGATAAAGCAGTAAAGAAAACATCCAATTCCTAAGGCTTTGAAAGGCTGATGATGAAACGTTTCCCCATTAAACGACAAGGTAGAGGTTGGTTAAAACTTAAAAAAGTGTCGTCCTTAGATAAGGATCTCAAAAGAGGACTTGTCACTTAAAATCCCTTTATGGTCTATACATACCCACCAGAGAATGTCCCTTAACAGTTACTACTACTTTTTAACCACAGAGGAAAAAGAAAGTGTACCCACTTAGCTAAAAATTGAGTCTGATGAATCTGGGGGCTTAAAGGGCCATCATCAGGGAAAAAATAAAAAAAATAATAATAGAAGAAAGGACAAGAAAGGGCTTAAAGGAAGGTAGAAAAACTAGTGTGTAAACTAAAAATGCAACCACAGGAAGGAATCAGGTCGGTGACAAAGAAATGTGTTTTATTAATATCACTTTGGCTTTTCTACGGCGAGGGGTGTGGTCTCCCCCCGGTGTGAAAGCAAAGGGGCACCTCTTCCAAGTGAAACTCCAGGTGCTCAGATCTATATCACTCAGCCACATCACCTGATCAAATCTCAAACAAGCTTGAGAGACATAAGATTCTTGACTATGAAAATCGAATTAGTTTTTCTTCTTTACTCGAATCCTTCAGACACGAAAAGGTTTTTTTGTAAAAAAAAATTCTGGGAAAGATCAGTTGAATATCATCATTCACCACCATCCTTTCACTAACAGGAACTATCAAACAAATGAACCCACCCACAGAATAAAAAAGACAGGCAAAAAAACGTAATCTTCGGTTCGTTACCTCAATAGGACTGAGCTTCCTCATGGAAAACATATCAGCACTTTCAGGAATTCCACCAAAATCCCTTCTCAGCTTGCCACAAACATGAGAATCCCTGATGCAAGAACTGATCTTTGGCCAATAACTCTGACTTGTGACCCTTTCCTCCAGCCATCCAGAGTAGTCCTGCAAGTAATACTCTTGATAAACTTTATTCGAAACAGGCCTGCCTGTCCCTTTATCAGTCACAGCATAAGCAAATATCACAAAGCCAATAAGGGTTGCTATGATTACAAACATAGCCCACAAGTAAAGGTACATGAGGAAAGTGTTCCCGTAGCAAGAACCAGCAATACCAGCCAAAGAAACAACCATGATAGCTATGCCTATTATGATCAAAGGCCACTGAAGAAACTTCAAGCAGTCTGTGTTGCTGGCTCTGCTGCTCAGCCATATTCCACCTCCTAGTATTGGTATAGAGGCTAGGAAAGTCAAGAAGTTTAGTAGACCTATCAGTTGGCTGCTAGTTCTCATCTTAATCTGCTAGCTGTTGAAGTATGTTTATCCTTCAAGAATCAAGACTTGTCCTTTTTTGTAGCTTTACTCAGCTCGAGTGTGTTTCTTTCTGGAGCCTTTTTTAGTTTCTGGGATTTTGTGTTTTGGAATTCAAGAACTGGGATGAACTGGGAATTCTTGGAAGGGGGAGACGATGGTAGTAGTATTATTTATTATTATCATATAAAGGGAACATGAACAGTGGGGTACTGGCAGGGAGTGTTATTGTGTGAGTAAAGAGGAGAGAGAAACTCTGCCTCGGATTATGGACAAAGTGTGGTGGGTGAATTGGCAAAGACACCCTTATATTATTTTACTACCAATAATATTTTGGAGACCGTGGAGGATGTTTTGGCCTTTTGGGTCCTGACTTGATTTTCTTGCTATACCATTTTGTAGTAGTAAATTTGTTGCCACCAATTTTGTAAATCTATCCAAGAAGATGGTCATTTTCTGGACTCGTAAATTTCCTCGGTGAATGATTGAAGCTGCTGATTTTAAAGAAAGACTTGGCTGTTAAGCAGTCAGCTCATCCGTGATGGTGTGGCGGTCACGAATTGGACTCTCTTTCATGCTACTATTCATACGAGATTTTTTTTTGGGGGGGTAATAGCTGGGGAGCCCCTATACTTTCGTGATTGTCTACTTTTAACCCCTCATCTAAATTTTGGCCTGTTTGAAATTTGCTATGTTTTTCATGAACACATTTCTCAATTACCTTTTACCTCACATATATCAAATCGCTATAATAATTTATTTACAAAAAAATTCGAAAAAATGCAATCCAAACAAGGCTATTTTTGATTGGCTCTTGAACAATTAAAACTACACATTTTAATGATTTTTGATGATTTTAAACATAAATTTGGTAGAATTTAAAGGGCATTTTTGTTCATTCATAATTGAACCTCTAAGACCAGCATCAGAAACCCTCAAAAGAGGTAACCCTTCAATATTTTTCACACCATTAGATTGAAGGGTTAACTCTCTTGAGGGTTTCCAGAGGTTCACTTATAAATAGACAAAAATACCCTTTAAATTCAGCCAAATTTATGTCTAGAGTCACCATAAGTCTTTAAAGTGTGTATTTTTAATTGTTCAAGAGCCAATCAAAAATAAAATTTAGATGAGAGATCAAAAGTAGACAATGATAATAGTTCGGGGCTCTCCAGATTTTTTGCCTATTTTTTTTTTTAATTATTACTACGCCTGTACGAGCCAGGTTGAAATTTGGGATCTGAATCATCACGTACTATAAATCATTCCAAATACTAAATGGTTTGCATTTGTAAACTTTTTCCCTTTTTCTTTGGTTTGTTGATAGGGATAATATCAGAAACCTCCCCTGAGATTTCTTGAAATATCACTAAACTCCCTCCACATTTTGGAAATCTCTCCTACCACCCCTCAAGTGATGGTGGGGTCAGAAGTCACTATGAAAATTCATCAGTTGCCAATAATACCCTTGTTTATGCTGTGGTCTTATTCAGCTTATAAAAGGAGAAAAAATGACAATATCACTAAGCATGCAACTGTATAAGGAGTGGGAAACCATTGCCGCCTAGAAGTTGAGTTCCGTACATGTATCATGGCGCCATTTTGCTCTGATAAGACATCTAAGTGCCCGGGAAATGCCAAGGAATGAAATACTACTTATTTGTTATTTGTAGCTTGGAGAACCAATTGAAGCTATGTTTCTGGAAATCTCTTGCTGGATATTGCAGAGGAGGAGAAATATGGCACTTGAATGAATTGCATGCGTTCGGTTGGACCGAAAGTGTGATTGTCAAAACTAAGCTGCAAAACAGGTAAAAATCTTCCATTGCTGGTTGATATGATCAACATGTAATTGGACAAAATGCAGGTGTCATTAAGCTTTCTGTTTGATTTGCCTATAATATCTCTGTTTTCCTTATATTTTTCTGTTTTGTTGGACTTGATGACTGAGTTTATAATCCAACCAGACCCTTTGTATGCTCTTGTTTTATTAAGTATTATTGATGTTGGATGTTATAAAAAATGTGTGATTTGATGATGTATGCCTGACCTTTATAAAGTTGATGAACAAAAAAGTTGATGAATATTGAGTTTTTTGAAGCTGTAATACATAAGAAGAGCTTAGCTTTGTAGATTAAAGTTGCAATACATATGACAAGCTCTAAGTGTAGTGTATACAGTTGGTTAGTAGACAAAAGTGAAAATTTAAATGAAAAGCTGGTGAGGGTGATGATGTTCATGAAAGCTGCAATGAAGGTTCTGTTTTGCAACCTGAGTTTGACTTTGAATAAGCATGCATGTGTTATAGCCCTCTGAGTATGTGATCCATATAGCAACTGATTGAGACTTTTCTTGGGAACACACTGATATGTAGGATGGGAAGAATTATTGCACATGATATTGTAGTTCATTACATGGGAAACACTGTCAGAATTCCAAATGTCGATCCAAAGAACTACCAATATATTGACCTTCTCGGTGATGTTACTGATAAGGCAATGAATGATTTGCCTGGAAATTTGAACATGCTTGTGCATATGAAATGTGCGATTCCTAGAACAACAAGCTTTATGGACATCAGTAGTGACAAATCAGTATCTGATATGTTCAAACTTCATGAGCAAGATCTTGTTATAAACTTGTACTTGCTGCACCTGGATATTATTCCTACTACAGAGGAGAATATGGTAGACAATAGGAATAACCAACTTCAGGATGCACAGAAAGACAAAGGAATCGAAAAAACTCCTATTCTTGTAGTTGACAGTGAGGGTGATGATGAGATTTATGCTTCTAGTTCTGATGACTCTTGGAAAGATGACATGGATAGTGACTTAGAAGATGTCATAGCTGAAGATAGGGCCTTAATTTCTTCCAGTGACAAGGAGGAAAATGACTTGTCTGATTATGAGGAGATTGAGGATGCACAGGTTGGGCCTGATTCAGAATCTGACCAAGAATCAGATCCTTTGAGAGCAATCATGCTGTCAAAAATGTGGACTTACAATCCAAGAGAGGACATTGAGTTTGAGAAAGGAATGCTATTTACTAATGTGGATGCATTTAGAGCAGTGTTAAAAGACTATACTATTCAAAAAGGATTTCCATTGGTGAGGTTGAAAAATGAAAAGAGCAGATGCACTGCTAAGTGTGGAGCTGAGGGTTGTAATTGGAGGATTCATGCATCTCCAGTTGCTGATACAACCACATTCATGGTTAAGACATATACACCTGAGCATACGTGTGTGATGGATAGGAAAAACTCAGAAGCAACATCAGATTGGATTGCAAAAAAATTAATTTCTGTTATGAGAGATCACCCAGAGATGACAAGCAAGGGAGTAAAGGCTGAAATGCAGAAGCATGGAGTCTTGCCAAGTAGAATGCAAATTTACAGGGCAAAAAAGAAAGCCTTGGAACAAATAGAAGGCTCACACAGTGAAGCCTATGGAAGGTTACCAAAATATGCTGAACTTTTGAGGATTAATAACCCGGGAAGCATCATGAAAATTCACTACGATAGGCCAAACCTTCTTATGGAGCCTAAATTTCTGAGATTGTTCATAAGTTTCAAGGCACAAAGAGATGGTTTCCTAGCAGGTTGCAGGCCATTTATTGGATTTGATGGCTTCCATTTGAAAGGTGCATTTGGGGGCATTCTGTTGACTGCTGTTGCTCTTGATGGGAACAACAGTTTGTTTCCATTAGCTTTTGCTGTTGTTGAGTGTGAAAACAAGGAAGCTTGGAGTTGGTTTTTTTACTATTTTCAGGATTTCTTTGGACCTTTTCCAAACAATATTCCACTCACCTTCATGAGTGATAGGCAGAAGGTATGTTTCCTGGTTCTATGTTTTATGTATAAGATTTCTTCCATTGTTGTTTTGCATGGCTGTCAAGTAACAGAACAGGAATTTGTTTTTGTCCATTCTCTGTTTAGGGACTAAACCTTGCATACGAGGAACAAGTGCCACAAGCTGCTGCACGATATTGTGATTGGCACATCTATAGCAACTTCAAAGTGAAATTTCCAGGATTGCTTCTAAGAAGATTTTTTTGGCAAGCAGCTAAAAGCTATGATCTTATAGGACACAATGAGACTATGGAAAAAATAAAGAATATTAACATAGATGCTTGGAGATACTTAGCAAACATTCCTAAGTGTAATTGGGCAAGGCATGCATTTTCTGTTGAAATTAAGTGTGATCATGTCACCAACAATTTCACAGAATCTTTTAATGCATGGGTTGGTGAACTGAGAGGAAAGAATATACTTGCTCTGGATGATGGACTGAGGCAAAAATTCATGAAGAAACTACATAAGAGGTATCAAAAAGGCTGCACATGGACATCTAGACTTACTCCACATGTTACTGGTAAGCTGAAGGATATTGCATCTGAATCAAGAAAGTGTTCATTGACAATGGCAAGTGAGAACACATTTGAAGTAGCAGATGTGGATAAGTCCTATATAGTCAAGCTGCATGAGAGGACATGTGAATGCGGGGCTTTCCAGTTGACTGGCATTCCTTGCAAACATGCTGCACTAGGAGCTATTTACAGAAGGGAGAAACTGGAAAGTTATTGTGATGCAGCTTTTTCAAGAGATCAGTATTTGAAAACATATGCATTCATGATCAACCCAATTCCACATATGAATAGGTGGCCTCCTATGGAAGATGTGACACCAGCAGTAGTTTTGCCACCACCACTTAGAAGAAGAGCTGGTAGACCAAGAAGAAATAGAAGAAGAGCACCTGATGAAGGAGCTCCTGCATCTCAACACAAGAGATCAATCAGTTTTAGGTGCTCTAAGTGTGGTGCATTTGGACATAATAGGAGAACTTGTCAAGGAGCTCCTGTTGCTGAAAAAAGAGGCAGCAGTACCTCTGCAAATCAGGTAGCAGAACGAAGAGGAAGACCAGGAAGAGGCATTGCCAATACTGGATTAGCAGGATCTGTTATATGGGTAATTGTAGCAGTTGTATATTTACAGTATCTTTATGTGTATTTGGGATTGCAAATGAGCTTAGCTTTTTGTCATGATTTGTCAGGAACATGCACAAGGAAATGTGCTAGTGATTGTGTCAAGTCAAGGCAGTAATGGAAGCACTCAAAATCAAACTACTGGAGCTAATGTTCAACTTACTCATTCTGCTAGCACTAGTACTAATACCAGAAAGGTAATGCTAATCAGAAATTAGTTTCATTACCTATTGCTAACTATTTTAACTGTCAAGGCCATTAGTTTAATAGAATTTGTTGCATGGCTTCAGAGAGGAGGGCCAAATGCATGGGTTGGAACTACTGTTGCTAACAATAATAAGAGAGCCAGACGAAATGCAGCTCTTAATCCACATCAAACTCCAGCAGTCACTGCATCTGCAACAGCTCCAACAGTCACTGCCTCTTCAATATCCACTTCTGCAACTACCACTGGAACTCACAATGACAATAGCAGCATCAGTATGTGGTTTTAATTAGTACTAGTAATATGAGTTTTGCTTTGGGAGACTGATCTGGTACAGTTATATATGTAGCAATCCTCATCATCTAGAATGATGTTTTTAGATGATGTTTTCAATTCTTGTGGATTGCTATATACTTTTGCTAAGTATTATTTGTACCGTATGCCAAGTACTTATATGCATTCCCAGTCCCATTGAACAAAATCTTAGACATATGTTTTGGTGCAATATGGTGGAATTTCAATTTACTCTTGCCAAATATGCTCTGCTGCTATCCACAGATCTTGGAACATGATGACTTATTCCATTGTGTATGGAATTTGCTAACTCCAACGTGTATGCTGTGCTTTTTTTTAACTCTATGTCTCGGATTCCTTACCATTATGTATGAAGCCTTATTGTTATAATTGGAATGAACTTAGCAGTAAAGTATTGTTGTACTTAAGGAACTTCACCTGTGTGCTTAGAGCATTTTCTGTCAAGTATGACTTTTGGTATAACAGTAATGCAACAAATCTTGGGGGACATACGTATGAAGTAAAATACAGCTTCAACTCATTTTTGCATAGCTTAACATCATGTTCGACTTACACATACCTTCTGATTTTTTCATGTGTGACCAGTAAGGCTCCAAACAGCTTGGAACACATCTACTATTACAAGAACAAGAAAGTGTGATTGCTTTAACTATTTGAATGAAAAGATAAATTGCTAAGAGTAGTAGATTGATGATAAACAAGATGGTGATAATTGCATTCTGTCGAGGCATCAAGTTAGATTCCTGATTTGCTGTCCTTAATGGAAGCACTGCACGATCAGCTTCATTTCTTTGGCTCTGCACTTCTTCACCTTCATTTCTTTGGCTATGCAACTCTTCACCTTCATTTCCTTCATACCGCTGGAAGTAGTTGCACTTTGAACAACTAAAATATAGCTTATCCGGATTTCTTTCACTCTCTGAAATTCGTAATGTAGCCTTACGGTTGCATTTACAATACCGGTTCTTCATGCTTAATGATGAAGGTGATTTATATGAGTGCCCTTCAAATGATGAACTAGCCATTGCTTTGCCCAATTACCTCTCCATCTACCTTACTTCACCAGCGGTTCCTTCACCTTTTAATACAAGTAGAAGCACTCAAAGTAGCCGTTGCATGTCCAACGGTCATGCAACAGTGCTGCCAGGAAAATATTCTCCAATTCATATTTTTCACCTATTGCAACTTTCTTATGTCACTGTATCAGTCAAACTAAGGGTATGAAGGGAACTAAAATACTCTCCCTCCTCCAAAATGCTTAATCTATTGTTACTTTTGCTTAGAGGGGCTGACATTGTTAAGAAAATGTCAATTCAATGGGTGGTAGGAGAGATTTCTAAAATGTGGAGGGAGCTTAGTGATATTTCAAGAAACCTCAGGGGAGGTTTCTGATATTATCCCTTGTTGATATGAATACTAACATGACTATTATTAATTGATTATCTTGGAAAGAACGAAATAATTTCGTAAAACATGTGTACTTGACCTGTACCGCACTTATAAATCTTTGACTGACTAATTTAAGCAATCCCTCAAAATTACTTATAAAAACATATTTGTCCAAAATTTGGTGAATTTCATGAGTTTTTTTTAACTTCAAGTTTTTTTTTTTTTGGTCAGTTTTTTGGTTTTTGCTAAAAGATTTTCAGTTTTTTCAGAGAGAGAGAGAGAGATAGTGATGTGCTATCATTATTGTTTAGATTCAGCACGTAGCAATTTGCAGCAGCCTTTTTCTTCTTCCTGCTGCTTATTGTGCAATTAGCGTGTACGGCTTTCCATTAAACACATGGCGACATTAGATTTAGGTTCAAGTCTTTATTATACGATGGCAGTTTTCAAACGAGTAATTGATTTCGAGTAAAGACACTGCTTAAAATCCGACAGAACTGTAATGGAGTTTGCTAGCTGGATGCAATAAAAAAATACCGTACACAGTAATTTTTTGTTTTATTCTGTTGTTTACAAATAAGAAAAGCACAACCCTGCTTGGATTGATAATTTTAGAATATTTTATTAACATATTTTTTTAATACTTTTTACTTTCCTTATAAAAACTTCTAAAGGTGACAATTCAAGCAGGACCACGAGTAGATGGCTATTTTTGCGGAGAATTCGGCAATAATCACCAAATCAAAGTCAACCAAAGTCTTTGTCCTGAAGGAAAAGGAGCAGTATTAGTAAAAAGTTGAGAAACTTCCTTCGAGTGGACGGTGATCTTGATTCGTGGTCCCCTTGGGTGTGAAACTGTACATGTCAATTCTTTGGCTCTACAGTTGCAAAAATATTATTATTTTTTTTTTAAGTAAGTTCGAGTAAGACCCTGTTCGGATGTACGTTAAGAGATCAAATTTTCTTTTCTACATTTTAAAAATTCAAGCTTTTCTCAAATGTCGTCAGCGGGTGCGTAGACACCCATCTGAATCGGTGATGGTTCAGTCTCCTCTAAATTCTTCTTAGATCTCTTTAGGTAAGTCTCCTCTCTTCACGACCCCAACGAAATTCAAATGGATAATCTTGTGTATAAAAGTTTCCTGTAATTATCAACTGCTGAACCAGCATGTGTTGACACTACTGATGCAAGTCTTTTTATACTCGTGGCCTTGCATGGTCGATGAGTATATTGTGAATTGTTAATCCTAAAGACCAGGCTATCTTTTCCTCACACGAGAAGCAATGGCCAACTGGTGGTAATTTATCTCTTTAAGCAATAATCCCCCGTCCCAACCGGTCGCAGGACAAGCACCCGCTCTCGTTGCCATCCTCAACAAGAAGAAGCACATCACGTGCCTAACTGATGGTAATTTATCTCTTCAAGCAATGATTTTTTTTCTGAAGTAGATGGCAGTTGTCGATTGCTGGTCAAAATCATATAATAAATAAAAAGGGAATGCAGGAATGGATTCGTGGCCTCTTCCCATACGCATCTGTGTCATGAATATCTTTTGTCAATCGCCAGACGTATATATATTGCATCTGTTCAGTTTGTACGAGGAGTGAGATCAAATCGAACTACTTTGCACTCTCAATCTTTGTCTTGCCTCGTATCATTTTCAATGCTTTGAATTAGCACTTTATTACTCTGCCAGTTTGACATTTTGTTTTCTAAATTTGACAAATTCTGGATAGAAATTATTCATCTACCACGCAGCATCTAAGCTCTTCCCCCCCCCCCCCCTTTTTTTTTGTATGGATGGAACATCTAAGCTACTTATAATGCACTGAAAGATTTGCTAATTAACAGATGTACTGAAACCCATTGTAGAGGTAAAGAGTGTTTGCATCATCCGTCAATAGATGGAAAAAACATGAGATTACATAACTAGTGCCCCAGGCACAATTACATGACTACATTTTCGGTTCCGTCATCTTTAACTTAAGGTCCACGATGCTAGTTTCTGTTGCTCTCATTATATTGGCAATAAAAAGATCTTGTTATCCATTAATCTCGGATTATTTATAAACAGTGATGGACAAATCAGAAACAACTTGAAGTACAATCCTATCAAAATTTTGGTATTTGGAGATGACAAGTACAACCTAATTTTGGATTGCCATTTTTCTCTAAAAATTTTTTATGTTTTTCATGAATATAATTTTCAATCAACTTTTTACCTCGCATACATTAATGTAATCTAGAAAAACAAAGCGTGTATAAACATAAAGGGAATAAAATGTAATTAGTAATTTAGTATCATCTAATGCGACAACTTTAGGTCCAAATAGTAGGGAATTCCTTAGCAATTAAAGAATGAGAATTTAAACTATTCATTATCTTTACCACCCCATATTTGGTGTGTCTACAAGTAAAAGTTCATTTTACTAAAGATCCTCTTCTCTATCAGTATTGTCTATGCATGTTCGAAATGAAATACACAATTTTACTTATGGTAAAATTCTATTTTTCCGAAAGCTAATATTGATAGAGTGCCTATATGAATTAGGTGCTTTAAAATGTAGTTTTCACTGATCTCGCGACTAGTGATCAAAGGAAAAGAGGGGTTAACGGGAAGGGTAGAGGATAGGAGGAAGGAGAAGGAGGAGCGAGAAGAAAGAGGAAGGGGGAAGAGGAGGAAGGATGAGGGAAGAGGAAGGGAAAAGGATGGTGGCGATGCAAAAGAGAGGAGAGAAGGGGGTGGCAGTAGTGAGTGGTGGTGTGTGATGTTGACGGATGGGAAAAAAAAGGTGGTAGATTTATTTTATTTAATTATTTATATTTTTATTAGGTACATTTAAGATTGTGTGTATTTCGAGTATTTTTTAGGTCTTTTAGAATTAATTTTATATACATTGTCAGTGTATATGTTATCACCATTAGATATATGATACATGTACAAAATTTGAATTTGAAATTCAAAATTTGCTCATGTGTCATCTATTCAACCTGATAGTTTATATAAAATTTACTCTTTTAAATTTATATTATTATAGACTCCAAAAATAAAAACTTGTATAAATTTATATTATTATAGACTCATAAAATAAAAATTTGTATTTGAAAAAAGAGAAAATTTTATATATACTATCAATATATATACTATTATGATTGGATGGATGACACATAAATAAAATTTAA